AATATATTGCACGATATGAGTTTTGAAATAATTTGAGGGCCGAAGCCCATTTATCCCTCCATGCCACCCCTGGTAAGAATCTTAGAAGTTTAATCATGCAAAACATCCCATAGGAATCTATTTTTTGGTCAATTGATGTCCCCATCAGCTTAAGGTGTAAATAATTCCCTACTTACTGGCTTTGCCTAAGTAGATAAGAGTTATATTACGGCTTTTCATGGTTAAACTTCTTAAACTTTTACCAGGCTACTGAAAAATGACTTAATAAATAACTTAATACACAAAATATATGTATATCCTACAATTATTCCCTAACTTAAAGAAGGCATATTAATAACACCTAGTTAAAGGAAAACAATATCTAATACCTAATAAATATATATGTACAGTATGCAACATTTGAGGAATCAATATAATTGGAATTTACAAAAAACTACACAACTTACCACTGTATTTTTATTCGTGATTTTCATGCTCTTCTTCTTCTTCTGGTTCTTTTAACTAATATTAACAATCAACTCAAATAACTATCCAACTTTATGACTCATATCTGAAATCGCGTCAAATCAAGGTTCATCACTATGTTTGTGCAACAATATCAGATGATTTGAAACTGGACATGGAAATGAATCCAAGTACACACACACAAAACAAACAAATAATTAAGCGTCTTGAATATGAAGATCTGCTCTCGAAGATTTCTCGTAGAGGATGGCCTAGCACTCACCTATCATAGCTATAAAACCTTTTTGAGCTACTGTAATAATATCTTAATTATCTTCCTAACTCTCTATCTGATAAAAAGAACCTGAAAATCCCTATTCTGTCCTAAAGCCTATGGCTAATCTATTCATGAAAAAAATATAGTAAAATTTCACCTAACACTATCTAATAAATAAACCTGAAAATCCCTAATCTGTTCTAAAAGCCAATGGCTAATCAATTTATGACAAGATAAAGTAAAATTTCACCTAACACTGTATGATAAAAAAAACCTAAAAATACCTGATCTAATAAAAATTATAAATAAAATTAATTTAGTTATCTGTGATAACTCTAACCATCCCTAACCTCTTTGTATTAACCTAAAACTAAACGAAGGGGATTTCTTCAGTGAAGCGAAGACTCAATACGATGAATGATGGCAGAACACATAATGCACACAAAAGGAATGTTCCTACCTTTGGTATGACAGAAACTCAAAACCTGCAAATAGCGAAGTCCAAGTGAGCAAATTTTGTGAGTTCAAGTCCGGCTTAAAGTTGTAATTCATTCTATGACGATCTTCTCCCCAAAGTTGATACCCACTTCAGTCGGAAAGATCTAAAACAGTTTCAAAGAAATGTTAAAATGAATCCTAACTAGACCGCCACTTATTTTAAATTACCTGTGTTTAATGATTCTAAACTTTTTGGTGGTCCCACAGTTATGGTTTGATTAGCCTTGTTATAGTATTAAAAACATAGTAAAATATAATTGACGCTTCCACCATGTTCCGTGTTTAGATTTGTTTGGACTCAGTTGCCAACAGCTATCGCTAATCCATAGAGGAGGGTTTGATTCCAAAACTGTCCTTATTAAATGTTCTATCAATATTTTCCAACAGGATATAGTATTTACAGGGCCGTATTTGGAATTTATAAAGCCCCTCTATATTCTGACTCTTTGAAAATTGGAACTGAAGAGTTTAAAAATACACGTGGTAATTATTTGGTGAGTCGGTGGCTCAGTTGGTAGCGTCGCGGACTTCGGGCCCAAGGCTGTAGCGTCTTGGGTTCGGATCCTGGTCACTGCCACAAACTTTTATCAGTACAGTTCACCTTTGTACTGTACCGGCTCACCCCTTGCTTTGCTGGATACGTTCCACGCACAGATCTGTAGTCTATTTGGACGGGCAAATGCAAGGTTAAAAGAGGCCGCCAACCTCTTTAAAAAAAAGTAAAGTAAAAGTATTCAACTCGATGAATTTTCTTTTTTTTCTAACAATCCTATCGGTAATAAGACATAGGAATCTAGCTAATAGAGTCCATTAATTTGTAAATAATAATATTAGGGGCTTAGGTCGGGGCCAGACATTTTAATTTATTTTGGGTTGAATAAAATGTTTGGACCTTTAGGCTTCAGATACTAATTAGGTACCGTAGGTAGTTTTGAAAAAAATTGGAATAAGTTTATGCAAAATCTGTAATCACAACCAAATTGCAAGCGTCTTCTGCGGTCACAGTAAAATCTTGGACATCCGCCGTGGTCACAGAGGAATCGTGAAGATCTCTACGTTCACGGCAAAATAGTGAACATCATGCGCGATCGCGGATATTTTACACAATGTTGTGATATTTAGACTTTGTGCAATACTCCCAAAATCGTGCATACACCATCTTCGTCTTCTGCGATCGCAGGAAAATAATCAATGTCGAATGTCTTCTTAAAAATAGTGAACATCTTGCGCGATCCTGGAGACATCATCTTCGTCTTCTGCGATCACATCGAAATCATGAATATCTCCTATGGAGATGTTAACATCTTTTGCGAGCGGGAAAAAACATCATCTTCAACTCCTCCTATCGCAGCAAAATCCTAAACCACTTCTATGACCGAGGAGAAATGGTTAATATCTTGCGCAAGGGCAGAGGCATCATCTGCATCTTCTTTGATCATGACGAAATCGTGATGATCTTCCTAGTTTGCGGGGTCACGATAAAATCATGGACATATTCCTGTGCTAGCGGATGAATAGTGACGTCTCCTACATAATTGGCAAAATAGGGAAGATTGGTTGCTGTCGCGCAGATTTTATCAACATCTCCTGCAATTACAGCAAAACAGATTAAATCTGTGAATTTATTTATTTCGGCCCTGGAAACCGCCGTGTCTGCCGTTAGGTAAATACGTCCCCGAGTATTTATGTAATTTGGCGTTTTGCTGCACCACTGACAAGATTCTTCTTGAACGTAATATGGGAAACAGATCAGCTGATTATATGGCAGGAACCTTAAAAAGCTTAAGATACCTTATAAAGTGTCTATGGATTTAACAACTAATTATTTATTTATTTCAGATAGTAAATCAAGTGTATGATAGTTACCTCAAGGGAAAAAAGTGTTCAAGGAGCCTGACGTGGGGCAGGATCCAGCTGCGTTAAATCTCATGCTACGTTTTTGATTGGCACACACCAGCACACCACTGTGATATTCCTGCAACAAGGAACATCAAGGGGTTTAAAGGTTTAAAAGGATTAACACAATTACAATTAATTATATACGTTTCTTGTGAAATCAACCAAGTCTAGAATATCTATCATTTGATCTTATTGAATTGTTAGTTTATTTTTCCAATTTATACATCGGTTTATTTACGTACAATTGCATTTTTACTGTTTTTTACTATATTTTTATCGGGTAAATGATCAGTTGCTCGGTAACTGTGGACGAGTGAGTGTGTGTTGTGCAATATATTAACAGTGGTTCTGTATCAAAAATAGTAAAACAATGAATCTGTTTACGTGTTGTTGCAATGTGGTGCAGAATTAGGCAGCGTAGGATTGAGCGGAAGTACTGGATTCACCCAATTAATCAATTTTATTAATTGATTAAAAAACCTAATAATAACTAATAAATGTTTTTTTCCTTTACCCTCCAATTGTTCAAAATCCTCTCTCAGAGCAGAGCAAACTAGTTTCCACATTTCTTTTGTTTAATTTCTGTCCTTATAATAGTTTAAAGTTTTATCCCACAGTACTGGGTTTGCTTCCACTAATTAAATCAAAACATCATTGTCAATTATCACTTAAGTTGCTATTTTCGATCCACACGATAATTCATTTGATGCCATTGTCACTCACAACTGTCACTATTCACTTCAAAAAACAAACGCAGTATGCAAAGTACACAGAGAGAAGGTGCAACGAGAACTAGGACTACTGGGGAGAACGCACGACATCCGACAAACAATTGTGGTGTGGGTGAGCACCCATTTAATCATGTACGCCCTTGTAAGCACGACAGTCGGGCGAGAGTCCCGGATCTCAGTTTCAGTGGACAAATGCACCACAACAGAATGATGTGGTTGTTAGACTGTAGTACAGTGGGCAAGCGCTCATAAGATCCATTGGTTTAGTAATTGGAATGTGCAGGGCCGATATTAGGTGCGAGGCAATTGGCTTTTTTAGGGGGCGGCAAAAAATTGTAAATAAAAAAAATAGTGATTGTATTTGCATGCGATTGTGGTAATCTTCTGATAATCCTCGCAGTCGTGTAGGCAAAATTCTCACTATTTTCCACGGCCGTGTAGACATCGTCTTCCATTATCATGGCAATATATGAAAAAATCCTGCCGTCTTGGGGAGATTATCATTGTCTACCGAGTATGAGGCAAAATTCAGATCTTTTCCCGCAGTTGTGTGGACATTACTATCGTCTTGCACGATAGCAAGGGAGGTCAAGTTCTGATCACCCGTCGTCGCCGTGTAGAAATCATTATATCGTCGCCTACGGTCGTATGGACACGTGTGGACATATTAATTGCCTCCCACGATTGCGGCAAAATGGTAATCATCTCCCATGGTCATATGCAGATCATCATCGTCTTCAGCAAATCAGGCGAAATTCTTATCTTTTTCCCGCGACCATGTGGACATTATCGATTATCACAGAACTCTCTCAATCGCAGAAAAACAGATTAAATCAGTGAAATTAATTTGTAAAAAAAAAATAGATGGGCCCCCTCCTAGGCCAAGGTCCCCGCAACTCCCGTGTCCGCTGTTAGGGAAATACTGCCCCGAGTATTTATATGTAGTTTGGAATTTGGCTTTACCACTGACAAGATTCTTCTTGAACCTCATATGGGAAACAGATCAGCTCAATATAGCAAGAACCTTAAAAAAATTTAGAGACCTTTTAAAGTGGCTATGTCTTTAACAACTATTAATTTCTTTGATTTAAATAGTAAATCATTTGTAAGATAATTACCTTAAGGTACGAAACTGTTCAAAGGAGCCTGACGTGGGGCAGAATTTACAGCTGAGTTAAATCCCATGCTACGCTTTTGGTACGATTGGCAGACAGCAGCACACCATGGTGATATTCCTGCAACAAGGCACATCAAGGGGTTAGAGGGAATAAAGGATTAACACAATTATTATGATTAAATATATACGTTTCTTGTAAAGTCAACAATGTCTAGAATTTAATTTATCTTCGATATATATAGAATTTACTGATTATTCTGGACAAACGCCAGTACTCTGTTAGGTCATTTAAATCTATCATGAGATCTATTTTATTAGTTAGTTTATTTTTCCAAATTATACATCGGTTTATTAACATACTATTGCATGTTTACTGTTTAGTAACGCTGATCTGAAAAATCCATTGTGTATCTTCATAGACTAAAATAATTAAATATAAACTGTCAGCCGAGCTGCGGTTACCATAGGTTATGGCACACGCCACTGGGAGCGCTGTGTAGTTACGTAGCATTAACGTCGTAACGTAAATCCATTGAGTATCGTATTCTTATCAATTTAAACATTTAGTTATAAGATATGTAAAAAATTACCTGCAAATGATAAAAAAGACAGCTGATGTTAACATCTTCTTGAAGCGGGAAGTTCATACTTGGAAGTAGTTGAATTACTTGCTGTGAGATTTTCTCAGGAAAGTTCACCCGCTACAATCGGAGAGATCTGAAACAGGATCAACAAACTATTAAAAGTAATCCTATCTGGACCAAAACATACTTCTATTTACCTGTGTTGTGTGATGCAGCTTTAGTGGAATTGGTTAAAATCAACATTTGTCACTTCAAAAATTCCAAGCTCTTAAGGGAAAAATTCCAAATCCTAAAGGCACAGTTTAATAGTTGGCAGTTCTTTTTCTTAATTTTAAATATGGAATAGCTTTACCTAAAATCTTATTTGCTGACATCCATTTTTTTTCCATTAAACCTGTAGTAAACTGGCTTGGATACTTGAAATATTCTATGAGTTGAGATCTCTGCCATCTACTTATACTAAGGTTGTATCATTATTGTTTCTATTTGGTAGAGTAGATAAGATACTTACTTAGGTAGTCGAATACAGCTCTGGCGATGCCTTTATGGAAGCTAGCAGGATGAAGAGAAGAAAAGTAAGGAAATCATGTCAGTGGGTTGGAATAAGGTTTAAGGGATACTTTGGAAAAAGGACACCCGTGGTAGGGAGAGGAGGTCCAGACACAATTATTTTCATCTACCTCTTCTCTCTACCCGCAAGCGCTCCCTCGGCCATGTTCAGGGGGAGGGCCTCCTGTTTCTACCACATAATATTACCGTACTGTGGTAGGGCCATAACACAAGCCCTAGGTGTGAATTACTAATCAAAAACTGTTTTCAAAACTCCAAAAAGAAATTTGAATTTTATCAAATATATCTTACGATATGAGTTTTGAAATAATTTAGGGCCGAAGCCCATTTATCCCTCCATGCCACCCCTGGTAAGAATCTTAGAAGTTTAATCATGCAAAACCTTACATAGGAATCTATTTTATATCTATTTTTTGGTCAATTGATGTCCCCATCTGCTGAAGGCATAAATAATTCCCTATTTACTGGCTTTGCCTAAGTAGATAAGAGTTATATAATGGCTTTTCATGGTTAAACTTCTTAAACTTTTACCAGGCTACTGAAAAATGACTTAATAAATAACTTAATACAAAATATATGTATATCCTACAATTATTCCCTAACTTAAAGAAGGCGTATTAATAACACCTAGTTAAAGGAAAACAATATCTAATAATAAAAATATATGTACAGTATGCAACATTTGAGGAATCAATAAAATTGGATTTTACGAAAAACTACACAACTTACCACTATTTTTTTATTTGTGATTTCCTTAATCTTCTTCTTCTTTTTCTGGTTCATTTAACTAATATTAACAACAACTCAAACTATCCAACTTAATGACTCATATCTGAAATCGCGTCAAATCAACTTTCATCACTATGTTCGTGCAACAATATCAGATGATTTGAAACTGGACATGGAAACAAATATAAGTACACACACACACACACACACACACAAAACAAACAAACAATTAAGCGTCTTGAATTTGAAGATCTGCTCTCGAAGATGTCTCGTAGAGGATGGCCTGGCACTAACCTATCATAGCTATGAAGTGTTTTTGAGCTACTGTAATAATATCTTAATTATCTTTCTAACTCTATACCTGATAAAAAGAACCTGAAAATCCCTGATCTGTTGTAAAGCCTATGGCTAATCTGTTCATGGAAAGATATAGAAAACTTTACCTAACACTGTATGGTAAAAAAAACCTAAGCATTTTCAATCTGTACTAAAGCCTATGGCTAACCTATTCATGAAAAAACATAGTAAAATTTCACCTAACACTATCTAATAAAAAGAACCTGAAAATCCCTAATCTGTTCTAAAAGCTTGTGGCTAACCTATTTAAAAAAATAGTAAAATTTCACCTAACACTATCTAATAAAAAGAACCTGAAAATCCCTAATCTGTTCTAAAAGCTTGTGGCTAACCTATTTAAAAAATAGTAAAATTTCACCTAACACTATCTAGTTAAAAAAAACCTAAAAATCCCTGATCTAATAAAAATCATAAATAAAATTAATTTAGTTATCTGTGATAACTCTAACCATCCCTAACCTCTTTGTAATAACCTGAAACTAAACGACGGGGATTTCTTCAGTGAAGCGAAGACTCAATCTGATGAATGATGGCAGAACATATAATGCACACAAAAGGAAAGTTCCTACCTTTGGTACGACAGCAACTCACACCCTGTAATAGCAAAGTCCAAGTGAGCAAACATCATCTAAAAATTAAATTTTGTGAGTTTATAATTACAAAGATATTCCAATATTGCCTTTTAAATTATATCTATTTAGTATCTATTTATATACTAAACTGAAATGTTGTATATTGTAATATATTGAAGTACATTGTAATTATTACAAATAACATGTATTTACACTTTAATGCAAAATGCATGAAAAAAGATCCCATGAAACCAAAAGGTTGGTTTAAATGTAATAAAAGATTATGACTTTGTTCGTAGATAAAGTCTCCATTGTAATGGAAGGGGTCGAACTGACGTCCCAGTAAAGCAGGCTAATTCAATAAGACACCTGAATTCGTATTACTTGCGTTTTTTAAAATATCTTTCATCCAAGTGATTTTTATCAAACCATTTTACATATTTAGTTACAAGAAATATAAAAAAATACCTCTAATTCTTACAGAAGACACCTGATGTCAACATCTACGTAAAGGAAGTTCATGTGTGATCCTCTTGAAAAATTTAACGTGCACGCAAAGTCGGAAAGATCTAAAACAGAATCAAAGAATTATTAACATGTATCCTAACTTGACCGGCACACACATCTAATTACTAGTGTTAAATGATTCTACTATTTTTGGTGGACCCACTGTTATAAGATTATTAGTCATGTTTATCCTGTATTTGTTTGGTATTCAAAAACATAGTTTCAAAAATTGACAATTTCAAAATGTTCTGTGATTAGGTTTGTTTGGTCTCAGTGGTCAACAGCTATTGATATCAGTCACTGATCCATAGAGGAGGGCGCGACACTCTTACCTGTTTTAAACTAAATGTTCTATCCATATCGTCTAACAGGTTATAGTCTTTATGTAGTTTGGAATTTCACTCCACCACTGAAAGAGTTTCCTTGAATTTTATGTGGGAAACAGATCAGCTCAATATGGAAAAAATGTTAAAAATGCTTAAGAGACCTTTTACAGTGTCCATGTATGTAACAATTGATTTCTTTGTTTCAATTAGGATATTCACCTTTGAGATCAAGGAGCCAGACTTGGGGTAGGATACAGCTACATTAGCAGACACCACCGTGATATGCCTACAACAAAGTACATCAAGAAGTTAACACGTTCGCTACTGCAATAGTACGAAATTTTCCATTCACATGGACCAGCGACGCACATATGCGACGGCCGGATTCCACCCATAGACTGCCGTCGCATATATGCGACGGCTAGTCACATTAAAACGGACTGCCGACGCATATTTGCGTCGGGGTTCTAATGTTATTAAAATGCTTATATCTTTGTAGTGGTCTATTTGAAGGCACTGAATTCCCAGCAGTGGTCTACAGAGATGTCTGACGCACAACTGCGTCGCTTGGTCTGTGGATATGATGATTGGTGACGTCATATAATAGTTGGAAAAACTGGTCTTTACTTCTCTGCATCACTGTATGTATGAATCCAGTATGTATGCTGCATTATCCTATGTAGCTTTTATATTCGTTCAGTTATAAACTGTTCTTGAATAATCTGTTTAATTTTTTACTTACTTTCACTTTAAAACACAAAAAATGAACTGTCGCATATATGCGACGTTTAGTCTATTTCAATAAAACTATGATAATTTTCACTATTCCGGGCGTCGCAAATATGCGACATTACAAAAGGTTATAAAAACATACAAAAAACAAGAATGATTTATTTACAAACACGATTGTAGCGTATTACAATGTAAATGACCACTGTTTTACAGGTTTTCGCCCGTGGTCTGTGTGTACTGTTATCCAAGTGACAGCCGGTCTATGTGTAAGATTCAAATGTATACCTCGGTCTGTGGCAATGACCGCGGCGTCGCATATATGCGACGCTCAGTAGCAAACGTGTTAAACGATTACCCCACTTACTAATAAATACATTTCTTGTAAAATCAACTTATAGTTTAGAATTTTATTTTCGATATATTCATCACTATATATTGATTCTTCCGATTTTTCTGGGCCAACACCAGTGAATAGACAGGAAATTTTAATTTGTCATGATATCCATTTTAATTGTTAGTTTTCAATACCAAATAATGTGTTGATTTATTGTTTATATACTAAAGACAATTTTCCAAAACTATAGACTAAAACAGTATCAAATAATTAGTAAAAGATACCTATCTCAAATTGACAGGCACTTGCTTTCAATCGCCTGTGTGGAACGATGCAATCTGTTTTATGTTGTAGGCAGTTAAATGTGGAGAGCGTTTTAGTGAATAGTGACTAAGAATGGGGAATTTGGTTTTCACCTAAAACCTTTTTCATTGACATCCATGGTGGTAAATCTTCTTTCACAACATTTTGAATACTATGGAAACTTAAAGCTTTGCTTTGAACGGAAAAGAAAGACATTTTTATTTAAGTAAAGTTGGTTAAATCAAGGGTGTCTTTGAACCTTGTTTGAGAAACAGATCAGCTCAATGGGGCAAGTGGGCAAGAACCTATCTACCAAATAAGCTGATGACTTATTAATTATGTAGCTTAAGAAACCTTTTACAGTGTCAATGTACCTAACAGCTGTTGATTTGTTTGTTTCTATTAGGATACTGTATCAAACGTTTGCTACTCACCTGGCACCAAAGTGCTGAAGGAGATGGACGTAGTGAAGGCTACAGTTGCGTTGATTGACAGACACCACAGTGATATGCCTGCAACAAATGCACTTCAAGAGGTTAGACAAACACCAAACTTACTTTTATACTACAATCTATATATATATAATACGCTAAGCCGATTTTTGTAAACAGAACTCCTCCCTCATTTTTGGACTGACTTTGATGATTCTATATATATAATACGCTAAGCCGATTTTTGTAAACAGAACTCCTCCCTCATTTTTGGACTGACTTTGATGATTAAAATGTCAAAACAATGGCTCTGATATGTAGTTTTGCAAAGTGTTTTTCGTTTTTTGATATCTTTATTAGTTTGGGCAAGATCTCCCATCAAAGTTGGTTTATCTCCCATAAGAATAACATGGAAGAATCTAAATGTTTAATTGGAAACTTTGTCTCCACTAATTTCAGAGAACCGCTGGGCGTAGAAACTTGGTAGAGGTGTCCAAAGAAAGGTCTTGGTCTGTAGAAGAGTTATCAAAAGAAAAACGAAGTAAATTCTCTTAGGGCTCTGCCTCAGAAGCCTTTAAAGATCCCTGTACGGATTTGTTTACATTTTGGCCTTGTGGATAATACTTTTTAATGAAACAGCTGTTAATTTTAAAATTGTGTTTTAAACAACACACATTTATTGGGAGTCACTGAATTGTCCAAAAGAAGTATTGCAATGTTATTTTCTGATTTTAAAATTGATTTTCTTCTGTATTATGTAATTTTTTGCAAT